AGGACATCTTCTTTAATATTGTAACTGTAATTCTTGCTCGATAATTGTTTTGTTATATGTAATTTTACCATGTTAAAGTTAAAACCTTCCTTTTTAAAAAAAGAAGAAAAGGGGAAGTGCTGTGGATATCACTCTATACAAATAAAACTCTGATGGCCAGTGACCAGGCAGGAAGTATAGGCGGGACAAAGAGAGAGGAGAATTGGGGAAACAGGAAGAAGGAGGGAGAGACACTGCAGCCACCGCCAGGACAAGCAGCATGGAAAGACACCGTAAGCCACTAGCCACGTGGCAAGGAATATATTTATAGAAATGGGTTAATTTAAGCTATAAGAACAGTTAGCAAGAGCCTGCCATGGCCATACAGTTTATAAGTGATATAAGCGTCTGAGTGATTATTTTATACATGGATTGTGGGACTGTGGGGCTTGGTGGAAGCTGGAGAGAAGCCCTCCAGCAACATTGAGGCTCACTCCACAAGAAGGAATCCATACCTAGTACTGTAAACTCAGTCAAAAATCTCTGGCTGGGAAAGATATGGGCCCTAAGGGAGTATTTATTACTGTTGGTTAGTTAAATTGCCATGGGGTCAAAATGGCTTCTGAATAATGTTCCTACTCAGACACAATTGTTAGTCTTAATCAGAGAGCTTCTCTTTTCAAAGAATGGCAGAGAATGCAGAGTCTTCCTTGCTTGTTTAAGGTGCTGAGAATAAGAGACAGTTGAGGGCTCAGCTAAACAAAACATTTGTATCACCCCCTCTAAGGCTCAGAGAATAACACAGAAGAGGGCTCGGCATAATATGAAAGAAGACAGAGAGAGTGGCTGTGAAATGCTAACTTTGGGCAGGTCAAAACCACTGCAATCAAGAATTCATGACAGCTACGATTGCCCGCACTGGACCTTCACAAAGCTTTGTCCGGCAAGAGTCAGCCGTTGATGTGGAAGGTTTGTGTAGCCAGGCAAAGATGTGTTACATTTGTTCATGCCACATGTGTGAACTTTGTAAAGATGTGCTGCCTTTGCCTTAATTAAATAAAGTTAACCTGAGCTCAGAGAGGCGGGGCTAGCAACAGATTGACAGGAAGTAGCAGGGAGGAGCTTACTGTAGGTATTTTTTTTTAATTGGGGTGTGGAGTGTGAAAGGGAGTGGCTTCCTGTGGTGGTATGTGTTCCCCAAAATATTGTGTACCTTAATAAACTCATCTGGGGTCAGAGAACAGAAAAGCCACTAGTTAGGCAGTGATAGCACATGCCTTTAATCCTAGCATTCCAGAGGCAGAAATCCCTCTGGGATCTCTGAGTTCAAGGCCACATTGGAAATAGCCTGGCATGGTGACTCACACCTTTAATCCCAGGAAGCAAGCCTTTAATCCTAGGGAGTGATGGTAGAAAGCAGAAAGGTATATAAGGCGTGAGGACCAGAAACTAGAAGCATTTGGCTGGTTAAGCATGTGGCTGGTTAAGCTTTCAGGCTTTGAAGTAGCACAGTTCAGCTGGGATTCATTCTGGATGAGGACTCAGAGGCTTCCAGTCTGAGGAAACGGGACCAGCTGAGGAACTGGTGAGGTGAGATAGCTGTGGCTTGTTCTGTCTCTCTGACCTTCCAGTATTCACCCCAATAACTGGCCTTGGGTTTGACTTTATTAATAAGAACTTTTAAGATTCTTGCTACAGGCTTCCACTATGCCAGCAAAGCGAAAATTAGCCAGTTGCTATTCTAACTCTCTGAGCTCATGGGTTCTCAGCCTAGCCTTTGAATCTCGAGTTTTATTAGAACAATAGAAATTTAGTGAGGACTACATTTAGTGGTAGCACAGAATTCCCCACACACTACAGCCTTAGTGGCCACAGAGTAATTTAAAGCTCAGCCACTGTGATAAAGGTAAAACAAGTCATGGATGGGGAAGGAACTCCAGGGACTCTACTTCTCCCCACTGAACAATTGGCTCCTGGTGGAGTGTAGAGGGCTAGGAGTCACTGTATTCGGTTGTTCACCCAATGGTGAGTCCACCAGGCTCCAATGTATAATTCCAAACCCATGGTCAATAGACAGCTCTGGTTAAACTCAAGGGTTCACAAAACAAAACAAAAAGACAAGAAACGTCAGAAAGGGACCTGTATAGAGGAGGGGCAATTGAGAGGGTAAGGGAAGATAAAGGCGATTGGGCTGTGAGGGCAATTAGAATGCACTGCATACATGTACAAAATTATTAAAGGATATATATAATAATAACAATAGTAACAATAAAAGACTTGTCTGTGTGTACTACACAAAACCTTTGTGACCTCTTGGAAAGGATGAAGCTGAGAAAGCAGGAAAATCTGCCTTTCTGAGACATGATCCACAGTCGAAAGCTCACAAGGGCACGGGACACACTCTAGAAGGCTAAGTGCATATGCATCAGGTACTGACCATTCCTCCTGCCGGTTAACATCTCACAGGACAACAAAGCACAGAAAGGACCTCCCTTTGGCACACATGTCTCCCCCTGCCTCTCAGCAGTGCAACTTGCCGGGTATCAAAGGTCTTGCCAGTAACAGAGGCACAGCAGACCTAAAAGGACGAAAAGAAAGAACAAGAATAAAACATGATGTTTCTGCAGGCCAGACAGCACAGCTTTCCCTAGAAGCCACACGACTGCTGAGAGGCACTGGAGAGCTGTAAAAATCAGGTTGACACTTGCTATTTAGGATTGCAATAGAAAGCCTATTATATTAGTTGTTAACATTCTGAATAATACTTAAAAACAGTAATCTATATATAATTTATCTCCTAATATAGCACCATTATTTCTGGAAAGCTTGCAGCAAGACTGAAATGGCCTTATTCCAACCACCAAAATCAATTCTTTTGTACAAATTTGATATAGGCAGCCTGTGTACCATTTGAAAAAGCTCACCGACCTGTGAAGCCTGGCATTTGCACCATAAAATTTATACCTTATTTGATGAAGTTATTGAACACTGTACTTACCCCGTGGAAGGTTTGAAAGCAATTGTATGTAACTCCCGCTTTTTGTCTTTAGGAAGAAGTTTTGGATACAGAGCAAGTCAAATCACTTATGCTCTGAAATTGGGGGAAGACTCAGACAGTCTAGACTTCACTTAATGAAAACTATAAGTTAATTTTTAGTGTGATGCTGGAGGCTCATTGCCAAGCTGAAATGATAGAGATTATTTTTAAAGGGCCCCAGAAGTGAGAAAAAATTATAATGTCATATCTAAACATGAGTCTATTTTCTTCACTAGATTGCTAATTAAAAGTTTATTTTTATATACTCTGATCTTAAAATTCAGGGGGAAATGAATGATACACAAAATTCCTCTGCTGTATTAAGTGAGGATAATAAAGAGTTGGAACACCCACCCTTCTTAATAATTGCTTCGACCGTCACCCAGACACAAATGAATCTCTCAGTTTTTCGATGCTCCCTTGCAATCAATCGTGCACACTGGCTTACAAGAGTAAAACAAAAGCAATCCAAAACCTGCTTGATCTTCTTTACTCATTAAATAGAGGATTTTGTTGTTGCCTTTCACCAGTGGCCGGAAGAACCATTAAAACACTGTTATTAAACTGCCTGTGACATGGATGATAACTACAGTAGAAAGAGAATCACGTTTTTTGTGATTATTCTGATACCTTTTCTGGAGGGGGAGGGGCATGATTTTCTTCAAGGTCAAGCTTCTAGTTCAAAAAATTGATCAAATTGATAAAGAGGACATTTAATAATTTGGATAAATATTGAGGTTTCAATTCAATAGACCACCGTAGAATTTTAATAGCACTCAGAAAGATCCATGTCATTTCTGAAATCATGGCTTTATTTCTCTCAATCTTCACCTTAAAGAGCCTGTTCCTTTAAGTGTAGATTGGTTGCCAACAGGAGTCTCAGTCACTGCTGCTCAATTCACAAACCTGTGTGTGAGGATATATGTATGTACAATGGAACAGCAGAGCGGTGATTTCTGTGAGCAAGCAATTAAGGTGACTGTCTAGGACTGACACTGTAAAGTCAGAGCACACAGTCCTTTACCACCTTCCATTAGCATACAGTCATAAGCTTGCAGACACCATGAGGAGGCAGACTAGCTCTCAGGCCAGCAACTCTGGCCCATGAGCTATTGGAAGCTGTTAGCCAGCTGCAAGCATGAATTTGACAAAAGGCATCATGTGGTCAAAGCCTAGTGCTATAATGCATAAACACAGGAGTAACTCTGTTCCACAGCCTAATAATTTGACTTCCTGTGTAGTTTGCCCACAAGGTAACATAAAATAATCAAGTCCATTTGAAAACATAGTCTACCTGGCATTGTATCTATCAACATAAATTATAAAAACTGACCATTAGCTACTTACTCTGCACCACATCCCTGTCAGCACTGTATTATCTCTTCCACTCCGACCACAGGATGGAGATACCCACGTTATTTAGTCAAAGTTACACCAGTAGCAGCGAGTCCAGAGCTTGACCCTAGGAAATCAGCATTTAGCCTGTGTGCTCTTCACTGATATGCCCTCGCCAGTCTGATTTTAATCACTGGGTCTGTTGGGGTTGGTATAAAACATTTGGTCATTTATGAAGCACTTACAAGATCAAGTTTTCAACAGTTATAGCCCGCATGAGGACTGTGCAGATAGACTGGTGTGTAAAGCACTTGCTTTGCAAGCAAAGGAAGTCAATCACCAGAAATAAAAATCTAGGCATTGATGGGGGAATGTCTTTCTGGATGCTGCAAATATGTGTTGCTCTGATTGGTTGATAAATAAAGCCATTTGGCCAATGGCAAGGCAGCTTAGAGGCAGGTGGGAAATTCAAAGGGAGAGACAGGAAGAAGGCTGAGAGAGATGCCAGTGAGCTGCCCAAGGAGCAACATGTAATAGGACAGCAGATAAAGCCCGGAACGTGTGGCGATGCATAGATTAATAGTTATGGGCAAATTTAAGATATAAGAGCTAGCTAGCAAAATCTTGAGCCATGGCCATGAAGTTATAATTAATATAAGCCTCTGTGTGTTTACTTGGGGGACACGAGTGGGAGAGATTTGTTCTGACACCCCACGGGACACAGGAAAACTTCCAGCTACAGGGCATGATGGTACACACCCATATTCAGAAGTCTAGCACATCTGGTGAGTTCCTGGGCCATGAGGGCTCCTGTCTCAAAACAAGGTAGATGGTACCTGAGGAGGAATTATTGACCTGTGGCTTTCACACGTGCACACATAAGCATGCATGTGCGTGTGTGCGCACACACACACACACACACACACACACACACACAAACCCAGAACCCTATAATTTTCCCAGGGAATGACACCCTATGGGGCAATGTGCTGCCCACAGCCCTCAGAAGTATCTCTGCACAGTGGCCCTTCACTTCTAAATTCAGGGCCAGAGGAAATTAACTGCATTCTATCAGTTTCTTTGTTGTAGTTTCAGTTTAAGAATGTTCAAATATTTTGTCATTCAAGGAAGAAAGTGCAGCCCGAGTATCACTAGGAGCCCAAGAATTTGGATTTCCTGTGTGCATTTAATTCAAGGAATCAGCGGTCAGGCCTCCTATGTGTGCAAACCAAACCTCTAGAGTCTGCTTTGAAGTCTTTCAAATAGCACTCAATTGTGGACAGCTGAAAACAGTCCTGAACATGATGGAAATTCACAACAAGATCGATGGCTCCAACATGGTGTCCTGTTTTTTTTTAATATGGAAAAAAATAACAACAATGACAACACACACACACACACACACACACACACACACACACACACATACACACACAAGGTTGAAATCCTCCTCTCCTCTCACTCTTATTTCCTGTTCCTTCACCTGACTTCAAGTGATCTCCTCTATCTCTTGGCCATGTCTTGATGGTGCCTCTACTTTTTAACATCACAGTTACTTAACATACATGTACAGTTGAAGCATACATTTCTGAACATACAATATGGCATGATGTATGCGTGGGGTAGGTACTCTCTGGTCTTTGGAGGTTTGAGGGGAAGTTGATGCTTGGTTGGTTGGTATTATTTTTTGTTTGAGGCATGTTCTGTTTGTGAAACTGGAAGTTGAACCCAAGGTATCCTACATGCTAGGTACATGCTCTACCACCATGCCCTTTATTTGGAATAGGTTTTTAAATACAGAAATAAATTACTGTTCTATTAAAAAGTATGTTTTGTCAAATTTGCTCCACACAGTTCAATGTTTCCTGAAATATACTTGATAAAGCATCAGTTGTATAAGATATTAATAGACCTAATGTAAGAGCAAAAATAATAATAAAAAACCTTTTAAAACATAAAATGACCTCTTTTTTTAAAACAGTAAGGAAAGAACTGGAAGATGCGAATTCTGGTCGTGGATACTGGCAAATCCTAGTTAAAGGTGTGTCTTCACTGTGTGGCTTCTCAGAATCCTTAGTTTATTACATACCATGTACTACAATTGTCTAGATAACAATCATACCCATCAGTATTTCTCAATGATAAAGGATTCTTTTGGATTTTTCTCCCCAATTCACAAAAGAATATCATTTTAATAAAATGTAGTATCATTGATTTAATGGGGAAAAACAAAATAAAAACATCAAATGCATATAAAATATAAATTTTCATTTTTACTATTAAGTTTAACAAATACAAAATTGTGACAAGTTCTTTCTCTAAAGTCTGATTTTATTTTCACATATCACTTTAAGGGCAGGAAACAGTTTGTAGACTGGTACCAGTTCGTGGGACAGACAAAATGGCACTGGATACAGCATTTAAAAATCACACTGACCACAACCTCTGATTGCCAAGCAATATGATGAGTCTAGTTGGTAAGGGGGTGTCTTTCCAGAAGACTCATGTGCTAGGGACTTAGTCCAAGCTGCTGGTACTATTCTGGGCAGTTCTAGAATAATTACAAGGTTGATAAAGACTGGAAAAAGTAAGTCACTAGAGAAGGGTCCTTGGGGAAACATTCTGTTTCTTTGTTTCCTGTCTGTCCTGGGGTGAAGAGCCTCCTATTCTGTCCCATACACAGAATAGACTCCCACCACCATGACATTCAGCCTCACCTCAGGCCCAAAGTAACAGAGCTACACACCCACATGCGCCAAAACAACTCTTTCCTCCATTAGGATGTTTCTGTCAGATACTTTGTCACAGTAATGCAAAAGTAACTAAGATGCTCATGTTGGATAAAACGGGTTGGAACATGCCACTTTGTTTTCAAAATGTTTTGCTACATGTTTCCAATTTTAACTGCCTTCAGAGGAAAATATTCAGAATTAATTACTGAAGAACAAACCGAGTCCTTCTTTCAGGACTAAGGCGTAAGGAAGGCTCAGAGTGCTTTCACCTGGGACTAATGGTTGGACCTATCAAGAGAGGATGCTACGGGTTAGGACGGAAAGAACAGTGGCTGCATGGTCCTCGTTTCCTGTGAGCATTTGTCTGCAGAGCCCAGAAACAGTAAGAGCTGGTTAAAAGAAGAAAAATGTACAACATCTGCTTGTCTTAGGCTTTATTTAAGTAAATTCTCAGGGTTAATAG